TAGTTGGCAAAGAAACTGTGTTCCACGACGCACGTGCTGGTGTCATAGCGGGCTGAGGAAACATACCACCGAAGTGGATAGTTGCTTGAGAGTCCCACATATCCATGTGTGCGAGGAAGAAGGTCCTCACTTGTGTAGCAAAAACGACAACATCTTGATTTGGTGCATGTCGGGTCCATGTGCTCAAGGCCTCTTCGAAAAGTAAATTCTTGATCCGGGAGTTAGGCATGACTGCAATTCTTTGCAGGAGCGTGGTGGTGTCATGGGTCAAGGACACTTCACAGTGCTCTTGGAGAGAATGTAGAAGTATCCATCCGCAGAGGTGCTGGTGTGACTGTGTAGCGGTAGCTTGAACATGAATCCGGTCAGGAGACGTTTCGAGTAGTGCTGCAACTGCATGAAACAAGGGAGCTAGGTGAGGATCTTCAGGAGCCGGCACGGCTGCAGTCAGCATCCAGCGATGTTGATGCTTAAGGCCTGAAATAGATATCCAGTGATAATTGAAGGTAATGAAAAATAGAACCTTGGTATAGCCGGCCACACTTGGAAGATCGCCTGACAAGGATTCAAAACTTTCTTTGGCTGTGTCAAAGTGCAAAGGGCATGGGAGATATCTGTCAAGAACCTGCATACGAACTGTGCGCAATACGAGTTCGACCTCGAAATTCGTCATCCATGCTGGCTGTATGAGCATGGTTCGGAGGTAGTTAATTTCCCTTTCTCGATTTGTGGGCGGTCTAGGAACTTGGCAAATTTCTTGCACGTATTCCTCTTGCGGACCTACGAACATCACAGTATCCACTCCTTGTGGCAAGCGAGAGTCTGGTTGATTGCTTGCATATTCTGACATAAAAGCGCTACGGCATTCAACAGCGAACCGAAGGAGATCAGGTGTAGCATTTGTGCGATGCCAATGTTGTTGGGATCGCAAAATCACTCGATCGAATTGAGCTTGATGCTGATTGGTTACATGAATCATAGGCTGAAGACAGGTCTGCATGGCAAAATTATGGTACCATCGAAATAGTATCGTCCAGCCACACATGGTCAAAACTTCATGGTTGGAGTCGAAAGTGACCAGCATATTGTGAGGTGGAATTTGCAAAATACGTGACAGTTCTAAGACCGCCGTTGTATGATGCTCTGATGGCCATTGGATAAGCACCACATGGACTGGGTCTGTCCGACGATCAACTTCAACTGCACACCAGTGAGCTTCCACCAGGAACAATAAAATGTTCAGACGATGGTTGGTGAACTGTAGTTGGTCCTCTGCAGCCATAAGATGACGGAGATCTCGACTGGGACTCCATTGAATGATCGGGCAAATGTTAATATCAGTTCTCCAATCCTTCAGCTTGCGTAAGAACCAAAGTGCTTCATCGGATGCTAACCACCCATTGTCTTGCAATGCAGCTGCACATCGTTCTGCGAAAGGTGGGTTAGGTGCCATGTGAATAATTTGGCAACGCCCCCAAGCGGGATGTCCTCCTGTATAGACTGCTTGGCTCCAACCTCGAAACTCGAAGTTGCCCCACGTGTGATCACGGCTAGCAGTTGTCCCTGAGAATGCTGTAGCAAAATCGGAGTGTGTATTTGACTCGAAGGGCTTGAACCACAGTTGAGTGGTTGAATTGGACAGTGAGAGACGGGATGAGTGATCCATAGTCACAAACTCATCGATATTCCGATGATCTGGTTGCAATAGTTGTCGACAAACGCCTTTTAAAGGTGTGCTGATGTAAACCTCCTGCAATCTGGTGCCAGGTAAGGCATCCCATTCAGTCACTGTCTTGTCACGGAATGATGTAAAGGAAACATTTCGGAGTAGAGGATCTCGATGAGAAAAATAACTTGAGATATCATCAAGGATCGGTTGGTCATAGATGTGGATCTCACCATGGTTGTTGATGGGTACAGTCCCACTGGATGTGGTAAAATGGTGTGGAGATTGAATCATGATCTCTTGATCCACGACTGGTAGAATATCTTCAATGTTGGAGGGAAACTGAATATACGATCTTGAGTCGGCACTCGAAGTAGGGACCGCATTGGATGGCCACAAACTGGCAGAACGAATGAGTCGTGTATCTTGCTCATCAAATACAGTAGAACCAGCCTGAACAATGTTGTTGGAAACGGGTACAGCCCCACGATAGATGGTATCACGTTGTGGTGGTTGTAGCAAAGCTGGGTCCAGGACGTCGTGAGCCAGAGCTGAATCTTTCGGTCTGTACAAAGGTGCCAGCCTAGTTAGGCTCACCAATAAAGTACTGTAATTCGTGATATGCGGATGGTAGTCGGGTACAGCCCCGCTAGAGGTAGTCACATATAGTGGACGTTGTTTGCAGATCGTATTCTTTGTAAAGCTCGTCATCCGTGCCCAATGTGCTCGGAAATTATAGATCAAAACTTTATCTGATGGACGAATACCGCACTGAGTGGCGTGGAAGTACGAGTCAATCTGGAGAGAAGGTAATATGTCTGTATCCGCTGTTCGACAAGCATATGGCTTCAAACAGGTATGAAATTGAGACTGGCTGTTGAAAGCTTGTCCCAATACCAATTCTGGACTGGAGTCAAGGATATGATCGCAAGAGGCCAAATCACAAGAATCAGTGCAAATGTCATCATCGTGTTGGTGGATGTAATTTTGGCGTATTGCTCGAAGAGTGTCATCAAAATAAGATCTCGGCCGTGGACTTTCCCAGTTGTCAAAAGCGCAATAGTGATCTGACACCAAGTTGATCCAGCTTGACAAAGAGGATGATTCTTCAGGTGCCGATGTTGGACGAATGAAAGTCTGTGGGATGAGATGTCTGGCGGATGGAATCCTGTGTTCACTGTCGATGAAACTCATGCTTTGTTGTGGTGTATATCCGTTCTGGTCGGTTGAGCAAATACTTTGATTTGGCGAGGAGATACTAGTTTGCAGAAGACGAACCCGAGGAGGAATCAATGCATCTCGTGTACCCCGAAATGGTTTCTCTTTTGGCCATTCCGGACATGGAGAAACAGCAGGTACACAACCCAGGTTGTCATCAGTTGGTTGGTCGATATCGGGATATCTGGCTTTTGGCCGAACTTTGCTTTTGTGGAACAAATGCGAGACATCGAAAGAATGGTTTGTCCGTCTGTCCATTGGTGATCTATCATCTGTGGATCTAGGTTTGCCATAACCACGCTTGGTGCAACTGATCCGATGTACCCGACAAAACTGGTAGAGATCAAACATGTCACAATAAAAGGGACTTGGTGTTTTCTGAACTTCGACGTCGCGCTCCCAAAATTGTTTCACAAAATCGTCAGGGCCATCATGACGGATGAAATCATCAGTGGGTGCCATCGATTTAATGGGTACGGAACCCTGGCATGAATTAAGTGTAGATTGTGAATTCCGGCTTTGTGATGCAAAATTGGAATATGGCTCGTGCAATCCCTGACAGATCATGTGGTGAAGACCACTGAAACATGTCTGGCTTGTTGAAAATGCATATGATCCAAGCAACGAAAGCTGTGCACGTCTTGTATTGTCTTGGGCTCTCTTGTCCGACGTTTGCACATTGGTGCTTTGGAGGACTTGGGATAGGCGACTTGTAGCCCAAGTAAACAGGCGGTAAAAACCACACTGACATCCTTGGTACTGTGGAGTATCGTCTGACATCTGGTTTCTGTGTGATGTACTCGATCTTCCAGCTTGTATATCTGGGGAGCAAACCTGGTAGATATTGCCAGCTGAAGTGCTAGATAGAGTAGATGATGGTCTGAACCACTCCGGATAATCTTCGTCAAAAGGTTGTCCCCAGTCGTCACCATGATTGCTGGCAGGAATAATATGGGAATACATCCAGGGTTCCGGATAGTCTTCATGCTCGAAGACGGACCCTGCCGAGTTGCCACATACTGGTGATCTGGTTTGGCCCTGCGGCTGGAATGGCTGTACATCATTTCGGTGAAATGGCATGGAATCGAAAGAGTCACATAGACCAAAACGACCTGCCATCCATGGTTCATGGAACTCATCTGCCTCAGAGACCAGGCCATACCCTGCACTTAACTCGGAGGACTCGAAATGTTGAGCCCAGGGCTCAAAGCCTTCCATCATCGGCTTGTAGGTAGGATCCCATGTGCTCCGTGGGATATTGGGCTGATCTTTGGTCAAAAACTCATCCTCTGGAAATGCCTGTTCTGGACGCTGACATCCAAACCGGAGATTGCCTCCCTCGTACCAGAACCTAATCATGCTTGAATGTGCCGTATGGAACAGAGGTAGCAAAGATCGTTCAATCTTCAGCTTAATCGTAACCCCTTCGGCGTCTGCAACAGACAGAATAGTGAAATGCACATTCCGCTGCAAGACTTGGACAGGTGTAATACGAAAATACCCAGCTTTATTCCATGAAGTCCGACAATCAAAGGATGTAGTAATGGGCAAAGTGTCCCATGCCATGGCTCGATCAGTACCCCACTTGCGTGGGGCGACGGGATTGCCAGGTCCGCTAAAGGACGGTGGGCTCGAGCCTAAATCCTCTGGCCTCACTACTAGGAGCAAGGACGCTACTAGGGGCTCCTGGCCT